CCCGGCTAATTTTTTTGTATTTTTAGTAGAGACGGGGTTTCACCGTGTTAGCCAGGATGGTCTCGATCTCCTGACCTCGTGATCCGCCCGCCTCAGCCTCCCAAAGTGCTGGGATTACAGGCGTATTAACCTCTTAATACTCACCCAGATTCTAATACATGTTATAATTGTAATCCCTGAAGCACTGACTCTCAATTTGGGCTGAATGGGGGCAGGATAAATTTTTTTTATGCCTTCAGATGATTTTGATAAGTACCCTAGTCATTATTCTACATTTATGCCCTTAGAAAGCTCATCTGCTTTGCCTCTCAGAGTTCTGTATCATCATTCCCAGTTCATGTCTCTTATTATTCCCCTTTCTTCCCCTGATGCATAGTAATTTACATTCTCTCTTTTTTTCCCCCTTTGAGCATAGGGTAGACTGTTTATTGGGTAATGTCCTCTTTTATTTCGTTTAAAATTGTAGAAAACTTAAGAGGTATATTTGATTTCTTGTTTTTTACTCACTACCTCCAGTTTATAAGGTTCTTGCTTCAGAATACCTCTTAGATGCAAGCCTTCTTCATTCCCATTGCCACAACTCTGATTTCACATCTTCCTTACTTCACACCTTGCATTATATTCCAGAAGTAGTTTACACTGTGAATTTATTTTTTTATTTCACTTTCTTGCTCTCCTTTCTTGGTATAAGGAACTTCCGATACCAGTTTGCTTATATCAGAGCAAGTACAAATTCTTAATCTTTTGCTGTTCTTCATCTTCATCCAAGCACTTTATTTTAGTTAAATCATTATCTCACACATATGCCACATCCTTTCCTGTATTCCTATCCATTTGTAAATGTTATATAATACTGTACCTCTTCTATAAGCTTTTCTGCTGTCCAGTCAATCCATATACTTAACAGTCTTCCTCCATGACATTGTATCTGATAGGTTTCACTGTATAATGATCTTTGCCTTTTCTGAGCTGATTCTTCTGAATTGATATGAATTATAAAATTTTGTTTATAATTGGTTATTCTACTTATAAACTCATAAATTCAATTAATGTACTTACTGCTTATTATTTTTATTGCTTTATATTCTTTAAAATATTTTAATCTAGTACATCTGTATAATTTCATCCTTTTCCAAAGCACTATCCTAAATACAAAATAAATCTCAGTGTCAATAAATGCAACATTTTCTGAATCCCTCCTATGTCCCATGCCCAGAGCTTGATACTAAGTAAAGGTGAATAATCACATTTCCTGTCTTCAGAAAACTACCTCTAATATAGAAGATTAATATGTGAACAAAGAATTATAATTACATTATGGTGGGTATTTTAATGGACACAAGCACTAAGAGTGGAGGAACAATGGTTAACCCTGCTATGGATTAGGGAAGATTTCACAAAAAGGGCGTTTTATGAACTGTCAAAAGGAAAAGGTGGAAGAATGGTGAGAGGCCACTCTAAGAAGCAGGAGTAGGATTTACATGAGTGCTGAGGTGCCAAACATCGTAGTACAGTGGAAGGAAAGGCAAATTGACCAAATAGAGGGAAGCTGTTGTCTTGTGGTTGTAAAGGAGGGACAAATCAATTGCTACTTAGTTTCTCCTGCTCCCAGATCCTGTCTCATCTCAGAGCAGAGAGTTTGGGGTCAGTAATTAAGAGGCAAACTTCTGACTCCTGATACATGTGTTTTTGCTGCTATTATATTGTTGTGTTTTAATGGTGAAAGAGATCTTATTTGTTTATAGGCTTTTGGAAGGAGCAAGAGGAAGAGAGAGAAGTAGAAATCATGGTGGGTGGTGGTGGATAGGATAGAGTAATATCCAGGATTCAGTGGGCTTGTGACATAGTATAATGGTAAGTCTTGATAGGGAAGGTTTTCTCCTGAGATGAGATAAGGGAAGCAAGTTGGGTTTTGGAAGCAAAGTCTTGGGTTCACATCCCTGCTCTAGTTATTGCCATACTATGTTGAGCAATTCACTTAATTTCTCTATGCTTCAATTATTTGGTTCTCGGGTAAAAGAGATACCATTACCCTCTTACAGATTGCTTAGCACAGTGGCTGGTACTGGTACTGATAGTAGACTCTGGTTATTTTCTGTGAAATATGAGTTGTCATCTTCTTAGGGGTGTGTGTAGAATGAAAGATAGTCTTTAAGAATGATAAAGGCTTAAAATAACATCTATGAAACT